ATCTCCCCGACCGGCACATGTTCCTACAAATATCAAAAAGCAATATCCTCATTATTAAACCATCATCTTTTCATCTGAGTCAAGGAGTCTCCCTCCAACACACCGACTCCGAACTTCCAAGTGAGTACTCACAACATCGTGAAATAAAAGGTTAACATTCAGAACCTCAACATAGCACCAAAGAGATCTCACATCTCCGACCATGTAAAAACATTTCCCTTCAATACTTACCCCTAAAACTTTAAGACCAACCTCTCACAAATCAATCTCCTTTTGAACCAAATTACAATAACCTTCCCTCCACCCCCCATTGGGGTATGATACTGAGCGTTAAACGAAAGAGAAGCTGGGAATTATATAAACTGATTCCCATCCCCATTGTCAAATTATTCAATCCATTCCAAATCAACTCCAATCTAATCCATATCCAATATCAATAACCATACCTATATCAACCATGTCTCTGGGAAAATCAACATCCAGAGACTATAAACTAGTAGTCGTAGGTGGTGGTGGTGTAGGTAAGTCTGCCCTGACCATCCAATTGATACAATCACAATTCGTCGACGAATACGACCCTACCATCGAAGACTCTTATAGAAAACAGATTGTACTAGACGACTCCGTAGCAATCCTCGACATCTTGGATACCGCTGGTCAAGAAGAATACTCTGCAATGAGAGAACAATACATGAGAACTGGAGAAGGTTTCTTACTAGTCTACTCAGTCACTTCAAGAAACTCATACGAAGAGTTGATGAGCTATTACCAACAGATACAAAGAGTGAAAGATACAGAATACATCCCGGTAGTGGTAGTAGGTAACAAATCCGATTTGGAAACCGAAAGACAAGTCTCTTACGAAGAAGGTATGAGCTTGGCAAAACAAATGAACGCTCCCTTCTTGGAAACTTCAGCAAAACAAGATATCAACGTCCAAGACGCATTCTACAACTTGGCTAGATTAGTAAGAGACGAAGGTGGTCGATATAACGCTCAATTGATGTCAACCATCAACGGCGAACCTATCTCATCAAACCAAATCAATAACAATGACATGTTGAACAATAACTTAAACGTTATCTCCTCGGAAAACATCAACGAAATGGGAAACGCTAACTTAGATACTGACTTGGCCCAAAAGAATATCCAAACCTCTTCACATATACAAAATGCTCGTATTGGTGGCGATGATTCAAATATGAAAAATGCAGCTGCTTCAAATAATAAAATTAAGACAAATGTCTCTGGTCAATCCGCTGCAACAAAGGCTAAACAGGCAAGAGCAGATCAATCTACCGCTGCTCAAGGTAAACAAGGCTCTTCAGCTGCAAAGGATACTTCCAGTGGCGGTGGTTGTTGTCTCATTTGTTAAAACAAGATAGAATAAAATTGAACAAAAAACTTATGTTGTTTTGTTTTTGTTAGTTTTTTTAAGGTAAGATAAGATACCTTGATTAAATTACTAAAATGAAAGGAATTGGTATCTAACATTGGGATACATCAAATTGAATCCCAACTCCTTAATTTCCAGTTCAATCTTCCAATTTTAGCCTCCACTACATAATAATCAGAAGAGTTGACCTTTACTCTCCCCCTCCCATACATTATTACTTTGTCATTCTAACCTAACGTATACACTGAAAACGTAAGTATAGGTATAAAATTATATACAAATATAAAATCATATGTGTAAAAACTAATTCCTGTTGCAATATAAAACAACTATATTTTTGAAATTGACAGTTCCCCTTCAGACTAGATTCATTCGACTAATGCAGTTGCATCTTACAGTTATCTCCTGTTCACTTGAAATCCATGATTGTTTTTTTAATTTTAACGTAACACAGGGACACTTACAGATATCATCAATACTAGCATCGTAACAAGAGCAACACCAATTACTCCATACAGTCCCAACGTTTAGATAAATAAACCCTTGCCAACTCTATCCCAGTTGCGTCATTTATATATGTCAACTTTTTACCATAGTATCAAGATGTTCAATATGACTAGCATTTCCAGATGGAAAAAAAAGTTCGATCTTGACGGATCAGGTAAAATCTTTAAATTTATGCAAGATGAATCTTTTTTGATTTGATCTCGAAGTTGATATAAGTCTAGGGATTATCATCTGATCCATGCTAATCTTTGTTAATCCATAAGGATAATTAATCATTGTAGTCGAGGTTAGTTTGGTATTTAAAGAGATTAAGCGGTATTGGTTGCCTGATATATTGAAATTTGGTTGAGATGAGCCAAATCTGCAAAGCCACCAATCTAATAGCAAGAGCATTAGATGTGACAAGTACAGCTGATAGTTTCAAGAGTTGGGATACATGTATGGACAACAAGGTATGTAAGATCATTGCTATTGTAGGGATTGCTTTGGCCTCTGTAGTTGTGCTTTGGTTAATTGGTGGATTTTTAACTATGTTTAGACAAGGTGTCACTGGTATAGGCCAATTTTTCTGTTGGTGTTGTCACTGTGGTGGTGGTTCAACAAATGGTAATTCGAATTATCCTCCTCCTGCAAATGATAACTATATGCAAAATAGGCCTTATATGCCTCCAAATGCAGTGATATATCAGCCTATTCAACATCCACAGACTGCTTATTATAAAAACTTAAAAGATGATTATTATGAAGAAACTACGAAAAGTGGTCCTGAAGTTTATGAATTGGAAGAAGATTTTGATCTGGAGAAACAGAAAGAAAGGTCGAACAGTAGGAAATATAATAAAAACAAGAATAATAATTCTCGACCTATGGAAAATTATAGTTCAGAAAGATTCCAATCGACGATCTACGATGAAGAGCCAGAACGTGGGTTATTATCAAATCCAAATAATAGCATTAACGATAATTTTAATTCAAGAGATTCGTTTATTACAAGGGCGATGCAACCAGATGACTATCCATATGAAAGATCTTATTCTCCAGAAAGACACAATCCACCTATGAATCAGCAATCTCCAGTGAGACAAAATGATGTCATCTCAAATGGTCATCAAGAAGGAAACCGTAGCTCTTCACATATATATAATCAAAATGGTCAGGGGAGCGATATAATGAATTACTATCAACATAGCCAACAAAACCTTGCAGAGCAATATTCTTCACCAATACAAAATCCATCAAGTCGTGCCAACAATGGTGGAACTGCTTACACTAATAGTAATGCATATTCTAACACTAGAGTTCCGTATCCTCAGGATGATATGCAATCATATAGAGGCAATAATCAATACTATAATGGTAGATATTAGTTCATGGACACTACCATTTATATGCATCTACGTTTCATATTCATTTTTTCACAAATCACCTATTAAATTTTAATGGATTAAAAATTTCATTTAGTTCTTAGGTTTCAAAACACTAATCAGTATAAGTTTCTGGATTAAAATACTGACATTCAGTGTTTGATTTATTCCTTATTTCAAGACAACCCATTTTATTATGATTAATCTTTTTCAATATTTATAAACTTTACATTTCTTATTTTATAGCATTAAATTTCTTATATTTTCTATAATCATCCTAAATGAAACGAATATATACGTTATTATTTTATTATTTATCTATATTCTTATATATGAAATATACCTATTATCTCAATTGCTCATCAAGCTTTGATATGATGTGTATAGCATACTAACTCCCCCAAAAGCAATCAAGATATAATCTAGGATAACCCTGTATTTTATTTTCAAACCTTCAGAAGACGGTATACTATAACTTCTTAGATGTAACATAGGTGGGTACATGTAAACTAAAGGAATACATGCAAATGAACCAATAATTGATACAAATCTATCTAGATCATCATATCCATAATATGCCATTAAAATAACAATCAGTACTATCACAGATCTTAGAAAGTTTTTGCGCCATTTGACTCTCCAATCTAATTTACCAGAATTTTGGCGTAATCTGACACCTTCTCTAGTTTGATCTATTTTTACATAATATTTGGTAAATTTAGGAAATACTTTATTTTCTATTATCTTAATTGCAGGAAATAATTGCAATGGGGTTGATAACATAATTGCCATGGAATAAAATAATTGAATTAAATTAACGAATATATTAGACTTTGGTAGGTTTAACAGAATTACCGTTTCAATAAGCTTACCATAAGCTAGGTATCCGATGGTTGCAATAGTGACAAACAACACTGTTGCAGTCATGATAACTAGTCCAAGAACTAATGGAAAATGTTCAGGGTGTTTCATTGAATCTTGGATAGGGATAATTAGCCCAATACCTTCAAATGCAAAAATTGCCGTACCTATAAATAAGGTCCATCCATTTGAATTAAATCCATATATAACCCCTTCTTCTGGACGCATATTTAAATCATAGAATAAATGCTTCATTGTAAATACGATTACTATTGCTAACCCAGACATAATAAAAAAATTGGCAACTAACGAGGGAAAGGATAATTTGGACACATTTCTTACATAAGATAATGGTGTAAAGATAAATAGCTGAAAAATCATCAAATACTTTAGGTCAAAGTCAGGTACTCTGAAGACATTTTCGACAAAAGCTTTCAGGTTTTTTGCAGTAAAAATAACATAGGCCCCTGCAAACCCAAGCTGTGTTAAAACCAAAGAAAAAAGAATGACGAATTTCATCCACCTCCCATAAAGTTTATAACCTATATCACCAAATGATGTCACTTGCGTTATATTTTTTGATCTTATCAAAATGTAATAACACCAATACGAATAAATACCAAAGAATAATAACATACAGATAGAAAATATTAAACCGCCATTATCGAATGCTCTTGGAAGAAATAATATACCAGTACCAATAAATGACTTTAAAAGTAGGAAAAATGCCTTAATTGTAGGAGTATTTCCTACAACTGACTGGATCATAGGCTTGGTCACCACTGATTCTGATACAAGATGACTTGGGCCTCCGTACAGTAATGGACGTCTTTCATCACGTTCGACATCTGCTTGTTCAATTTCTTCTGTAATGAAATCATCCTCAAATGACTCGCCTGCAAAATTACCATATATATATAGAAATTCCAGGAAGTTTCTTGTTAGGAACGGCACCTTATCTGTTTCATTTGAATTGGCGTCAGAATTTAAAGAATTGCCTGCCAATGAATAGTTTGATTGTCTTCTCTGTGATCCGTAATCCCTAATCGCATAATCTTGTCTCATTTTTTGGACAATGTATTCTCTTCTAAAACCACCAGGCACATTTAGATGGCTTGCCCTTGAGTGCTTTCTAGATCTATCCTCGGCAGCAGTTAAGTTTTCTAATGATTTAGAATGCCTTAAGCTATTAGATTTTGAAAAACTGCCACCATGTCTTTTGGAAATAGCTAATTTATAAATGTCCCTAGTTATATCTCCACCTTGTGTGGAAATGTTTCTTTCTATTCTATTGTCACAATCATCATCATCATCAATGGCTGTAATATTAGAATTCAAGTTTGCCTCTGTTTTAACCGATTTAGTAGAGATACCTCCAGAATGTATAGTTTCATTTGTATCAATTGAAGACCTTCTGTTAATATAGTTGTTTCTTAAGCTATTGACGATTAAATCGTGATGCTCACTATCTAAAGTTTTAAAATTTGGAGAAGATAAATCTACTAAAACACGAGCATCTAAACTTTTCACCAAATTTGAACTATTGTTGTTGATGTTATTATTAACAGGAGTAAATTTATTCCATGAATTTTTGCCTGATACAGAAAGATATTTGCTATTAATCGAATGATTATGAGCAGAATTTGGTATTTGAATAGATTTTGAATTGGTAGAGGAACTCAAATTTCTATCACCCCTCCTTATATTAATAATATTACTATTAAACTTATCAACAGTAATAGCATTGCTATCCGTCAGCTTATCATCATTACGTGTACCTGAAGAATGATTCATTATTAGGCCACAGAACCTTAACAGCCGTTATCCTAACCCTTTAAATATATGTAATAAAATCAATAGTCCCTTGATATTGGTGTAATATAAAAATAGCACCAGTAAAATTAGATACTTTAATTAGCTTAATTTGTAATCCAGTGAGTTCTGTAATATTTCATCAACCGTATATCTAAAATGAATCACCCAAAATATAAAAGCAGAAGGAAATCAAAAACAGACCATCACTCTCCTAACATACATATATACATCTATAAGTGCATATATGAATAGTCCTTATCAAACTTCAATCACTGTTATAAAATATCAATTATGTTCTAGTTCATTCCATTAAATTGTGAAGGTTAATTGACGATATGTGTTGTCATATATTAAATTAGGATGATGTAATTATTCACATGAGAACATATCAAGACATAGATAAGAAACAGAGAAACAAGATAGGTAATACTATAGGGAGGTGGAGTATAATTCATGGTATATGTAGTTGGATATATAAAAGTGTGAGTGTAGTAATAAGAATAACCATTTTCTTGGGTGTAGTATATTCTTACTTTTAATAGTAAGTTAGTAATGAATAATATCTAACAATATTTAAATTAATGATGAGTTGTTGAATTTAACATAAACTAAAACTAAACATAAATTATAAAAATCGTTGATGACAACGATATAAAGGTCAGAGTTTTGGTATTTAATTACTAGATTAAACCCAATATATATAGATATAAATATATATATACGTGTACAGGATCCGGTTTAATAATAGAGGTGATTATTTACCTATAAACATTATTTTGTTGTCAACCTTCAAGTTTAACAGCTTAAGATATCAAATTGAATTCAACAATCGGATAACAAAATATGTTAAAAACACAATCGATTGATGCTGATTATAAGATACCAACATAGACCGACACCTATACCATCGAATATAGACTAATAAGTATTGGTGCTAGTCAGTGTACGTTTATATTAGGAAGTATATATATTATTTCATTTGTATTTCCATTATCTATCCCATAATAACAATAACGATAACAATAGCAGTAATAGGCATAGTTAGATAACGACAGTAAGCTTGGGAAGAAACTTACGTTACGAGTGTTTTGATTAGATACTATATTACTTTGAATAATGTCATTTAATGATTTAGAATCGCAGGTTAAAATTCCAACATCTGAGAATTATAATGATGTTAATCAGAAGATAATAACGCTGGTAGAATCTTTAAAGCTATTAAAAAGAGATTGTAGTAAAATTGGTACTTCAACTGATTCCATAGAGGTTAGACAAAAAATAGAGACAGAACTAATACCAAAGACATTAATATTAACTAAATCCATAGAAGAGATAGACTTATCGAATAATGATAGAACAAGTAGAATGTTTTTGCAAATTAAAGAAGACCTACAATTAACAATTAATAACTATAGGAAAAACAAATCCGAGAGTCCCTTAATACAAAAAAGCAATAATAATGTTGTATTAGTGGAGGAAGCTGATAACAATGGTAATAGCTATATATCAATGAATTTGCACACCAACCAAGAATCTGATCCATTGCTACCGCAACGACAGAAACAATTAAGTTTACAACAGACAGATGATCAACAATTGATCGATGAGGCTGAATTAAGCTACCAGTCTATCATCCAACAGGAGAGGAGTCAGGAGATATCAAAGATCAAAGGCAAAGTAACTGAAGTCAATGCTATTTTCAAACAATTAAGTACATTAGTCAAAGAACAAGGTACTAATATAGATTCAATAGACAATAATATCAGTAGTTTAACAAGAAATCTACAGGCAAGTAATAAACAATTAGATAAGGCAAATGAAAACCAAAGGAGTAAAAATAAATGTAGTATGGTGGTTCTTATCATATTAATAGTTATTGTCCTAATTATAATACTGGGTATATTGAGCTAGCGAACGTTAGCAGAAATATTTAATAGAAATTATAAAGAACTTTTAAATATATTGGTTATTAATACGTTTATGTATAGAACCATTATTTGCCCAAGCCCAAGCGTTAGCCCAAGCGTTAGCCCAAGCGTTAGCCCAAGCCCAAGCGTTAGCCCAAGACCAAACCAAATTCAAACTAATTTTTCAATATGTAATTGACTTTATATACCATCATTAAAACCATCAGGACAGCAACTTTCAAAAGCATACATACTCGCCATCAATTTTAACTTATCATCCATCTAAAACTATTCAATTCATGAAGAGTGTAATAATCTATTTATTATATATATATATATATATGTATATATAAAACACCCTGTAAAGCATATATAAATGAGACGGAGATTTTGAAGGATTTTAATACTTGACAAATTTGTTACCACTTTTTGGGTTTCATTTAATGGAACACAGTTCATGAGAAGAACACAAAAGAGGAACCAGATAATTACTTATAGAGCTTGATTCCTTTAAGTTTAACTGTTGATATCATTTGTTTGTATTGGTTAAAAATATATTCCCAGTTAAAGATTATTGTGCTATTGTACAAATTGTTGTATAGCCGCTGAACACAGGAAAGATAGATGGTTGCTTCGCTGAAAGGAGCAAGGTTTTTCCTTTTCAAGAGGATTCTCAGTCATGGTAATTGTTATATTATTACCATAAAATGAACATAGTTATCTATTATATTGAAGTTTTATCTTTAAAGGTTTTGCCATTACAAATGGGTGATTATTTAGCATAGAGAGATCCACTTTAAAGATCCACGTGATCAAAATTATAATCACGTGCAAGATACTAAATTTATCGTATAGATTTATTTGGTGAAGTTTAGTTCGAACGCTGACTGTTTTGAAGGAGATAAAAGAAAAGAAATCAGAATTAGAGAGGCAGGAAAAAGTAGAATAATTTTAGCGATGAATTTCTGATGATTGAAAGTTTCAGTGTACTGGGTTAACTTTTCAATATTAGATATTCATTAGCGTAAGCATCTAATTTTTAAATTTTTTTTTTTTGGTTAAAGGTCTTAAATAGGAGTAGTGATTGGAAAGGAATCCGACTTAAGATAGAGAGCTTGACTAATTTCAGGTTCATTAGTGAGAGATTCAATTGTGGATATTGGTTACCCTTGAAATATTATAATTTAAAGTTGTTTCTAGTGAGAAATACAGGATAATTTATAAAAATTATAGATTGAACTTTTTTCAATTAATAAATTCTTAAATTTTGGTTATAGATCAAGAATATCGATATTCGAAGTCTAATGATTATTCTAGTCTCTCAAAATAGTGATCGTAGAGTTGCTATTGTTTCTGAAACTTTTGCGTTAGTTTTCAAGGCAATATCAAGATCCAAGAAAGATTCCAATCCTTCAAATAATAAACGTTCGTTATGCGCCATTGAATTATTACCTAAGAAAGATTTAACAGATCAAGGATTCAAAAGATTATCAGGACAAGAGATTCATGGCTTCATTGGGCTCATTGAGATAGATGGTTTAGTATTTATTGGTACTATTACTGGTAAATCGAAGGTTGCTCAGCCAATACCTCATGAAACTGTAAACAAAATACACGGTGTCGATTTCTTTTGTTTAAATGACTCTCGTTGGGATTTCGTTGAAATAGATTCTTCTGGATATCCTGTTATATCTGAGGCAGAATCAATGGACCGTCAAGATTCAGTTCCAAGACATCCATGCTATGAAATAAGAAAATTATTATCCAATGGCTCCTTTTATTACAGTTCCGACTTTGATTTAACTTCTTCTTTACAAAATCGTGGGTTCTCTGAGCATTCTTTAAGCTCAGATAACTTCGAGCAAGAATATATGTGGAATTCATTTTTAATGCAAGAAGTAATTACCTATAGAGATAGGCTCGATACTACAGCCAAACAAATTTTAGATGATGAAGGGTTCCTGACAACAGTCATCAGAGGGTTTGCAGAGACTTTTATTACGTACGTGAAGAGACTAAAAGTTGGGTTAACTATTATTTCAAAACAAAGTTGGAAAAGGGCTGGTACTAGATTCAATGCCCGTGGTATTGATGATGAAGCAAATGTAGCCAATTTTGTAGAAACAGAACTGATCATGTACTCAAACCAATATTGCTATTCCTTTACACAAATTAGAGGGAGTGTACCTGTGTTTTGGGAACAAGACACCGCTTTAATAAACCCAAAAGTATCAATAACTAGATCATTAGAAGCTACACAACCTGTGTTCGATGATCATTTCATCAGATTAACAAATAAATATGGTCCTGTCCATGTAGTTAATTTATTATCAACAAAAGCTTCAGAAATAGAATTATCTCAAAGATATAGGAAACATCTCACAAAATCGACCAAAGTTATCCTCGGTAGAGATACACTTCTGACAGAGTTTGACTTCCACAAAGAGACTGCTCAAGAAGGGTTTTCAGGATCTAGAAAGTTATTGCCCTTAATCATAGAGTCGTTACTGGCTAATGGATATTTTTCCTATGATGTGAAAGAGAAAAGAATAATTTCTGAGCAACAGGGTGTGTTTAGGACTAACTGTTTGGACTGTTTAGATAGAACAAATTTGGTCCAACAAATGGTGTCATTATGTGCTTTTAAAACATTTTTAGAAGATTTTGAAATGATAACAGCAAAATCTTTTATTGATGAAGATGATTTTGTCAATAAACACAATGGACTATGGGCTGACCACGGTGATCAAATCTCACAAATTTACACAGGTACAAACGCATTAAAGTCCTCATTTTCAAGAAAGGGTAAGATGTCATTAGCTGGTGCTCTTTCCGATGCTACTAAGTCCGTTAGCAGAATGTATATTAATAATTTTATGGATAAGGGTAAGCAGCAAAATATCGATGCATTATTAGGAAGGTTACCGCATCAACAAGCTGTTGAGTTATACGATCCAATTAATGAATTTGTCACATCAGAACTCAATGGCTTGTCTGAACAATTCACGTCATATTCTACCGCAAATTTATTTGTAGGTACATTTAATGTGAATGGTACTTCTAAAAGAGCCGATTTATCAAAATGGCTATTCCCAATTGGCGATAAATTCAAACCAGATATTGTTGTATTAGGTTTGCAAGAAGTAATAGAATTAACTGCTGGATCCATTTTAAATGCTGATTATTCAAAGGGATCATTCTGGGAACGCATGGTAAGTGATTGCTTAAACCAATTTGGAGAGAAATACCTATTATTAAGAGTAGAGCAGATGTCATCTTTAATAATATTGTTTTTTGTGAAGGCAGACAAGGCTAACAATGTTAAACAAGTGGAAGGTGCATCTAAGAAAACAGGGTTTGGTGGTATGACTGGAAATAAAGGTGCTGTAGCCATCAGATTCGATTATGGCTCGACATCTTTTTGTTTTGTAAACGCACATTTTTCTGCTGGGTCAACCAATATTGATGAACGTCGTAACGATTTTGAAAGTATTTTCAAGAATATATCTTTTACTAGGTCCAAAGCCATTCAACATCATGATTCTATTTTCTGGTTAGGTGATCTAAATTACAGAATTACGTTAGTGAACGAGGAGGTCAGGCGAGAACTTTCAGCCAAGAGAGAGGGATATATCGATACTTTACTGAAGTATGATCAGCTTACTCAAGAAATTAACGCTGGTGTCGTATTCCAAGGTTTCAAAGAACCTACATTAAAATTCCGTCCAACGTATAAATATGACAATGGTACTGATAACTATGATTCATCTGAAAAGGCTAGAACACCATCTTGGACGGATAGAATTATTTACAAAGGTGATAACCTACATCCATTAGCATATTCCGATGCTCATTTATTAATTAGTGACCATCGTCCAGTTTACGCAGCTTACAGATCTAAAATAACTTTTATAGATGAAGAAGTTAAGCTCAAGCTAACAAATAAGCTTTACAACGACTATAAAGCAGCTCATCCAGAAGATATTGGTGGTAGAAACCACAGATTGGTAGATCTAGATTTGGACAATTCAAGTGCACCGAAAAAGTCAGAATCATCATTACCACAATTGAAAACGGATTCACTATTAGATTTAGATAAACCTGCAACTATAACCCAGTCTCCTATATCTCATACTCCATCTTTGAATTCATTGAATTCCGTTCCACTACAGCCTGCTTCAAGAAAAGCTTCTTCTGGAGAAATAGCGAAGCCAGCTATTCGTGCACCACCACCACCAGCACCTAGGTCAGTCACATCTACTCCAATTCATAAGGCAATGAGCTCTACAGATTTAGGCACATCGTCATCTTTAGATATGAGGACACCTCCACCAAGGAAGTCAACCTCTCCACCACCACCTATAGTACCAAGTGCCAGAAAAGTTTTGCCTCCAGGTTTTACAGAGGCAATCCTAACACCTAAAAGTACAAGTAGTTCATTACCTTTGACCAAATCTCCTGATCCAATATCTAGGAAAACACCACCTCCACCTCCAAAACATCATTCTAGTATTGTGTCGCCACCGCCTGCATCTGCAACTAAGATTGAAAAGGTTAAGAATGATGGAAAGGACAATTCCCAAGATGCTAAACCTAACACACAAGCAAGTGAAGAACATCAGAAAAAAGTCCCTCCATCAGTTCCTAATAAAAAGCCAGAATTAGAAGGTTTGACTATGGACTCATGGAAGCCTCTAACTCCCAAATAAATAGATGAGGATAAAATGGATCGAATGGACCAAAACTAATATCATGACAAATATTTCAGTTTATGTAAATATTTATGTAGAATTGTAACGATACAGGTACAAATAAAAATTAAAATTTCTCATTTTAACAATGGAAGAGCCTTTTTTTCATCATTAGTGCTATTGAATTGATACTTTTACCTCCTAAAGTTAGTCCATTATCATTATCTTACCGCCTATATTGCCAATTATTACAGATATTCCGTCAATAATGATCGAAATTTATATTTTTATTTGAAAATTTTCACCTGGAAAAAAGGCATCTCATCTCATCTCATCTCATCTAATCTAATCATACAAGCTCATCTCTTGAAGAAATGTGTATTATTTATAAGAATAATTGATATTTAACAAATAATTAAAATTATTGGTTAGTTGTGAAGTAATATATATATACTAAAAACCCAGTGAATATATTGACAAGATGGCTAAAAGTCAGAAGAAAAGTGCTGCCAGCAGCAGCAAGAAATCCATAACAACTAAGAAAGATGTCAAGCCAGTTGAAGAAACTGTTGAGGAAGTTGAAAAGGAAGATTTGAAGGTGTCCTCATCAGCTGAATCCGAATCTGATATCGAAGGATCTGACATTGAAGGTTTATCTTCTGCTGATGAAGGTGATGGTTCATCATCTTCTCATAAGATCAAGAAATTAAAGCCAAAGCAACAAAACAAATCTAATAATGGTAAGGCTAATGATGCATACTCAGGAATTATATACGTTAGTAGGTTACCACATGGTTTCCATGAAAGGGAATTGAGTAAATATTTCTCACAATTTGGTGATTTAAAAGTTGTTAGATTAGCAAGAAATAAGAAAACTGGTAAGTCTAGACATTATGGTTTTGTAGAATTTGTAAATAAGGATGATGCCAAAGTTGCTCATGAAAGTATGGATAATTACTTGTTATTAGGACATTTATTGAAAGTCAAGTTATTACCAAAAGGTGCTAAGATCGAAAAATTATTCAAGTATAAAAAGAGAGTATTTAGCGAAACTCCTGTAAAGAAATCTCGTGAAGAATTAAAGAAATCTGCTAAGGCAAAACACGATGAAAGATTAGCAAAGTTATCTGAATCCGGCATTAACTTCAAATGGTAATTATGTTTAGCATTTATCAATTAAAATTTATTAATAATATTACTCTTAATATTAATATCTTTGTTATTTGATTTCACAATTTTTTAGTTTCCATTTTTGTATATTAAATAGATATTTCCAATTATATCTGTATTCCAGAATAATAAATAGATTTATAAATACTTCAACAATATCAATATCTTAATGTTATTATAATCAATTATCAATGTAGTTCAATAAGATGGATTCTATTATCTTCATAAAACTAATGACTCACGTGATCTCATCAGTTAATTTCTTTTCTCCATTAGTGGCAGTTTAAACTAAATGCGTTAAAACATTTTAAATCTATCGAATCAGGAACAAACAGTTTCGATTTGTTTAAATGAATACTGGCGTTTATCATTTCCTAATCAATTCACAAAGCTTTCCATAGAATATTCTATCCATTAACTGAATTGTAGTTATAATGAATTTCTCAAGTATATTTAAATCCATTTCTAATTTCCAATTTCCGTACTCATTGGAACAAGATTCAATTCACGAAAATGCATTATGGGAGGTATTCCAAGGTACTAGAAAGTCTGATTCTCATCCAGTGACGGTATTTAAAGCGAAAAGAAATCCAGACTCAGAAATTCTCATTTTAAATGCAGTTCAAAAGGCTAAAGTTTTGAAGATTCCAGGTTTATGCTCAGTTCTTGAAACTTTTGATTCAGATGCACAAAGTACATTTATTATAACCGAAAGAGTGGAACCATTCCCTTGGGACTCTTTGAATAATTTACAAAAAAATCCAGAGTCTCTCCAATTAGGTATCTCCCAAATATTGACAACTTTGCAATTGTTGTCAAATTTCATTGTAGGAAATATCTCTAAGGAATCTGTATACATCAATTCAAAAGGTCAATGGTTACTTTTTGGGTTAGAATTATGTTGTAATATTGCCGATGTCACTTCAAATCAATACTTATCTTCTGTTGATCGTTATTATTCTATCACTGGCTTCAGTAAACCAAACAATGACATCAGAACTTTTGATTCGATCAAGCTGGCTGAATTGATCAAAGGTCTATTTGGTTCACTTATTCCAAAAGATTGGCAAAGTCTGATAACATCCTTGAATAAAGGTTCTCTTTCCATAAAACAATTTCAAAATAAAGTCCAAGCCACACAAACTTGGAATAAGAATTCTCTAATTTCGATTGATCAAGAATTAAATGAACTTCATATTAAAGATCCCCAAGGAAAAATGGTCGTGATGATTACACTACAGAATTTGTTTTTGGAATGTAAGGAACTTTTTAGTCATAACACCCCAAATTTTTTGGAAGGCTTGATTATTCCGGAATTATGTGAAACAGTTACTTGGCTAATGACACATCAAGCTTCAAGTCCAACAACACCAGCAAAAATTGTTTCCTTTTTAGCAATGTTATTGACCTTGACATCTGAAAGTAATTACTTCCCAGATCAATTTAAAGAGCTAGTTTTAAATGTATTCAAGTTACCTGATAGGCAAATCAGATTTTTGTTATTGATATTTTTACCTAACATCATTGGAAACCTTACTGAAACTGAAATATCAAACCGTATTTTTCCACAGTTTGCTCAAGGTTTAGCTGATTCAGATTCTACATTAAGACTACAAACTCTTAAGACAATTCCATCAATTGTACCAAGTTTGACAGAAAGACAATTGAACAATGAATTACTGAGATACTTAGCAAAAACACAAGTGGACCCTGACGTTGAAATTCGTACATGGACAATTATTATTATTACTAGAGTTTCTTCAACATTATCCACATCATCAAATAGAGCCAGTATCTTAGCAACTGCCTTCACCAAATCTCTGAAAGATCCTGATATCAAGCCGAGATTAGCTTCATTATATGGGTTAGAAAAATCTATTGATCTATTGGATGTCAACACTATTGCAAATAAAATATTAACTGTAATTGCACCTGGTCTATTGGATAAACATAGTCTTGTTAGATCTAAAGCCAAAGCTTTATTTAATAAATACTTGAATAAGTTAGAGGCAGAGGCAGAAAAGTTACAAGAAAAGACAGGCGATTCTAACGAAAAGTCTAATGACATTAATTTTGATGCATATGATATTGATGACGATGAGTTAAGTAGACAATTCATGGAAAATTTAAGAATGAATTCACCTCAGTTAAATGATATCCAATTACTACAAGAAAATGGAAAAATGTCAACAGATAATGGTTGGGATAATTTTGAAACCGATACTAATAATGATAATTGGGACGCTGAAAACGGATGGGATACAAATGAGACAGTTTCTTCACAGTTAAATAAGCCACAAGGAAAGGTAATCAAAGTAGAAGAATCTTGGAATGACGACTTAGATGATCCATGGAATGAAGGTAATGAAGCTGCATACCAAGCGACTTTAGAAAATACAAAAAGATCAAATGGAATTTTAAGTAATGGAGGCATCAAAAGTAATAATAAAACCGGAAGCAATATTTCTTTGAGTGCGAAGAAAAAAATTACTCAAAAACAAACAACAAAACTATTAATTGACGATGACGTCGAAGAAGACGGATGGGACGATAACTGGTAATGCATCTCAATGATAATTTTCATATATACTGACTGTATGTAATTTATTTTAATTATTAATATAAAAATTTAATAATAATCCACATCACATTGATACCATAAAAAAAGTAATTGTAAATTAACTATTATTCCTATATTGTACATATGTTTTTAATTCTATAAAAATATTTGAATGGCAGAGTTAAAACTAAGTTTTAAAATCAAATGAACAGTGCTAATTAGTTGGTATTAACGTCTACCTCTACCACCCCAACCATTGTCTCTTTGGTAACCACCGTTTCCACCACCGTAACCACCACGGCCACGACCACGGCCATAGCCACCACGGCCACGGCCATAACCACCACGGCCACCACCGTATCTTGGATGACCACCATGTTGTCTTCTGTCGTATTTCAATAAATCTTGTGGAATTTCTTGCTTAGCTTCTCTCATAATTGAGATCAAATCACCACCAAGAGTCTTGTTACCTTCAGTAAAGAATGAAACGGCAGTACCTTTAGCACCAGCTCTACCAGTTCTACCAATTCTATGAACATAATCCTCAATGTTACCTGGCATGTCATAGTTAATGACATAATTAATACCTTTGACATCTAAATAAAATGAATAAGCAATACAGCATCTTTGTTAGTATAGAAGACTTTTTGAGAATTTGAAACTACTACGAGGATATTTTTACTTTGAAGTAAAAGATTATATAAAAACAGCTCATGGCGTTGCCATCGATTAACGTAGCAATTTAATATTCTTGAAGTTTAAAAAAGTAAAACCAATTTCTATTAAAATGAACCAAAAAAAAAAAAACCTAAACCCCGGGGCCTAAATTTTTTTGGCCCCCGAAAAAAACAGACCCATTCCAACTATTTTGGAATGGTCAAAAGGGCCCAGCAATTTCACCTTTCTAAAAAAATTTTAACCAAAAATTTTGGGGGCCAAAAATTTTACCAAAACCGAAACAAAAGGCTCCCCCACAAAAAAAAACACCTATTTTAAGGGCCC